ACTTATGCAATAGCAATAGAACACTACAATGTAATTACAATATAAAAAATACTTAAATGACGTAGATGAATCAAAGAGACACTATACACCAGATAAAGCTCAAATGATGTAACTAAATGATTAAGTAATAAAACAACCGTATGACTGAAGCAAAAAATAAACAGACAAAAAATAAAAATAAAACAAAGATAAACTCAACCGACATAACAACCAACGATTTCAAATACGCAAGGACGCCCGTGAAACAAATGACAATCGCTTCGGACCAGAAAAAAACATATAAGAAAAAAAAAATAAACCTTTATATTTTCCCCCCTCTGGCAATAATACATTAACATGGCGAAAAAAATAATAATACGGTGTCGCACGATGGCTTGGTAAATGACAAAAGTGACACAATCATAAATTTCGGGATTCATTTTATGCTTAGCGGACGCGGGGAAAAAAAAAAACATGGCGGATCGAAGGTTTTCGTGCGGTTGTTACGCGCTGTCCGCCATCTTGGTTTCCACGAATGGCTTTAATAAATCACGCAAAAATCGATGTTTATTTTTGGGTTGTCGTTGTTTCTGTTGACATATTCTAGATGTCTTTAGTATATCTCATTTCGTTTACTGAATATCTTTCATCCTCTTCGTTATTTTCAGTTTATTTTGTCGACAAAATCAAGGTGAAAACAACAGCAAGCTCGGAAAAAAAAATCGAATTTCTGATTTCGATGAACGATTTTTTTTTATCCTCTTGTTCGTTGTTTCCAGTCAACGTAACAAATTCATGGTCAAAATAACTCGATCCGCAAACTGGGAAATTTAAACTCTCCAAACCCCGTAATATTCACAGCATATTTTAACACAGATAGCGGGGAGTGTATATCGTACCCTGTTATTTTTTCGCCATTTTTTTTTTTTTTTTCAAGGGATAAGTTTGTCATTGATTTTTATGAGTGGGGGGAGGGGAGAGGAAGTAAAAAAAAGGGAGGAAGAAAGGAAGGAAGAAAGGGAGAAAGAAAGGAAGGGAGTTAGGGAGAAAAAGAGAGGTGGGAGAGAAGGAAGGTAGGAGAAGAGGGAGAGAAGGAGGAAAAGGAGATAAAGGGAGGTAAGGAGGGATGGAAGGAGGAAGGGAAAGGGTGAATGAAGAAGGGAAGGAGGGAGAGGAGGGAAGGAGGTGAAGGAGAGAGTAAATAAAACAGGAAAGCGAAGGTGAGACGGAAGGAGAAGTGAGAGGAAGGCGAAGGAGGTAGGAAAGAAACGAGAAAAATGATAAGAGGAAAGTAAGAAGAGAGGGATGATAATGATGATTATAAAGATGATCATCATCCTCATCCCCATAATAATCAGGATAATAGAAAAATAAAAATAATAACAGAGAGAGAGAGAGAGAGAGAGTCAGAGAGAAGAGAGAGACAATTAGAGGGGAGAGAGAGAGAAGAGAGAGAGAGGCAGAGAGAGAAGAGAGAGAGAAGAGAGAGAGAGAGAGAGAGAGAGAGAGAGAGAGAGAGAGAGAGAGAGAGAGAGAGAGAGAGAGAGAGAGAGAGAGACAGAGAGAGAGAGAAGAGATAAAGAGAGAGAAAGAGAGAGAGAGAGAGAGAGAGAGAGAGAGAGAGAGAGAGAGAGAGAGAGAGAGAGAGAGAGAGAGACAGAAGAGAGAGAGAAGACAGAGAGAAGAGAAAGAGAAGAAAAAGAAACAGAAAAAAGACATTCATAAAAAAACACACCAATTTCATCGTCATATTCCAAACTCCATTTCCCTCAAATCCATTTACAACAAACAAACACAAGAACGCGTCTCAAAATTCCTTTCTTAGAGACCAGAGACCAGAAAGACACAGGTCATTATAAAGTCACTGGGTTGATGGTCAATGTATCTTTTTTTTTTTTTTTTTTTATTAATATATGAAATCGTATGCGTTTCGGTCTACTGGAAACAATAATTAGTTTCATTTGACTTGCTAAATGCATTCCTGATTGGCATTTACAATTAATACACATGTGGTAATATGTAATATAGCCACAACGATATAATGACAGCATTAACATTATATAATTATATCACAAGTATCTGACTCTCGTAGGATTTAAATTTCTCATAATATTATTAATATTGTAATTCTCCTTCCCATATCGTCTGCATAAATCGCCTTTTTTCTATTTTTCCTGTCATTATTTCTTTCACTCAGTCTCAGACGATGATAGACTAAAGACATCGAGACCAAAAGGACTTCACAAAGCCAATAAATTCAGTTTTTTTACCCGTTTTACATCCAACACCTTTTTCCATTTTTCTTGTCGTTGTTTCTCTCTCCCTTCCTCTCAAACGATGCCACGCGACAGATATCAAGACCTCGGGAACTTCACCAAGCCAATAAACTAACTCCATAGACCGTAAAGGCGAAGTTTTGTATCCCGCGCAGGCACCCTTTGCCCTTTGGGTGAAGTTTACCTCGTGACCCTTGCGAAGGCGGGCGGGATTTCGTCACCCTTCGCCTGCCAGGAGGAGTCATTGTTCAAGGGGCGTGTCCCTGAAGGAGGCAAGGGGGCGACTCAAGGAAACCATGTCCTGCAAGAGACGAGGCGTAACGCGAACACCTGTTGTGTAAATGCACCTGTCTTGTCACGGGGAAACAGGCACCTGTCCTGTACGAGGCGGAAGATCCAGTGGAACGTCAGACACTGATCGTCAACAATCAAAAATCAACTTCAATGCATTAAAAAAAACGAGCTGCATTTCTGCGAACGTTTCCCATTCTCTTTACCAATTAGACTCTCTGCAATGTATATATTTTTTCATCAACTATATTCTTTATTACTCGCGTTCAGGGGCTACTATATTAAAGAAAGAAAAAAATCCACTAAAAGGCTCACATCTCTCTCTCTCTCTCCCTCTCTCAACACATCGTAAGATCATGCGCAAAAGACTCTCACATCTTCTCTCTCTCTCTCTCTTAGCACATCGTAAGATCATGCGCAAAAGACTCACATATCTCTCTCTCTCTCTCTCTCTCTCTCTCTTAGCACATCGAAAGATCATGCGCAAAAGACTCTCACATCTCCTCTCTCTCTCTTAGCACATCGAAGGGTCATGCGAGTCTCATGCGCGTCCGGGATGTGGTAACTGGCACGAGGTAAGTGAGCAGATAACCTCTCCTTCGAACCGGCCTGATCCTCGCCTATCCGGACCGCAACTGTACTCTTATCCGGTTCATTTTTTTATCATGACACACATTATCTTGCCCTAAACTTTTCATCACCTTTTCTTAAAAACCTCTGCGAATTTTGATACTCTTTTTTTAAGTGGTTTCCGAGACCCGTTCACCAGGACTTCGAAAATCCTTATAAGGAGATCGAATTCTCTCGATCTGATATTCTTTCCATTCTTCCTTTCCCTTCCTTATATTCATTTATTTCACTTATTCTCCCCGCGCCATCCAAACCACCCTCTCTCGAAGTCCCTCTTCCATCCCTCATTTTTAACACTTTTCCTTAATTCTACTTACTTTTACACCCCATCCTTCGACACTCCTTTCCTTCTCCCTCTCTCCCTCTTTCCCTCTCTCCCTCTTTCTCCCTCTCCCTTTCTCCCCATTCCTCCCTCTTTCTCCCTCTCCCCCTCTCCCTTTCTCCCCCTCTCCCTCTTTCTCCCTCTTTCTCCCTCTCCCTTTCTCCCCATTCCTCCCTCGCTCGGAGCTTAACGGGAAACACAAAACGTATATCAAGTCCTGTTCTTCTGGTTTGCGCTCCCTCGGCCCACTCGAATGCTCGCCAAGTCCGCTGTCTTGCTGGCGTGAGTGTAGGACGTATGGGTCAGGATGAAGAAAAGGAGTGTTTGGAAATTCTTTTCGACGTGTTTATATATATATTATTATTTTTTTTTGGGTGAGAAGTGTTTGGAAATATTTTTGGTGGGGTTTCTGTATCTATTTTTGAGAAGATATGGTGGTGTTTTTAGATTTATTTTTGAAAGAAAGTGTTTGGAAATCCTTTTGGTGTTTTTTTTTTTATGGGGGGAAGGGGGGTCGTGTTTGTATATGGTTCATTGACTGTTTATCTATGGTTATTTTAACTTATGTCCTCTTCTTACTTGCCTTCTCTCGTTCTAATTATCTTCTCTCTCCCATTCTCCCATCTTCTATCATTCCTTTCTTTCTATTTCTATCTCTCCCTATCCATTGTCTTTTTTTCTGCTACATTTCCATCTCTTTCTCTCTCTCTCTCTCTCTCTCTCTCTCTCTCTCTCTCTCTCTCTCTCTCTCTCTCTCTCTTTCTCATTATGTATTTATCTTCCCATTGTTTCGATTCTTGCTTTATTTTTCTCCACCCATTCTTTTCTCTCTATTTTTTTCCTCACTCTTTCAATTTCCTCATTTCTCCCTTTACCCTCTCATCTCACTCGTCCCTCCCTTGTCTTTCCTCTTTCCCTACTTTCGTCACTCCTCCTTTCACCCTCTTCATCTCGCTCCCCCCCCCCCACCTCCCATGACCCTCTCCCCACCCCTCCCCTCCCCTCCCCACCCACCGCCCGCACCCAGACCGCAAACCTCCCCCCTCCTCCCACCACCCCACCCCTCCTACCCTCCACACAAGCACAGCCACCCTCCCTTCTCCCCCCCCCCCCCCCACTCCCACACCAACACGACCCGGCGGCCCGTTACTTCAACTCGACTCGTGTAGGTCAACTATCCTGCTCGCACTTCCTCTCCCGATTACCTACTGAACGGGTCCTGTTAGGTCCTCGTTCGTTCAACCGGTGAACTCTTTTCCTTTTGCATTAAGTTTTAAGTGCTTTATTTCATACTGCTGAGATATCTGTGTAAATTACTATTTTGTAACACATACACACACATATATATAGATAAACATATATATATGTATGTATGTATATGTCTATATGTCTATATATATATATATATATATATATATATATATATATATATATATATATATTTCATATATACATATATATATTTATTTATATATGTATGCATGAATGTTGTCGCGGTAGAG